AACTTCAGAAATTTAATACTTCCCTTCTGTGGATCCAAAATAAGATAACTCTCAGAGTCACCCTTCTGATTTATAATCTGGATGTCCCCTTTAATTGTTAAGGCATCAATCAGTATAATTTGTAGGTCCAAAGCAGCTTCTTTCTCCAAGTCACTCTTATAGACAAACATTTTAAAGTCCTTTTTCAAATCCACAACATCTTTTTCCATGTCTTCCATATCTCCTTTATAGTCTGGCAATTTCTTAAAGTCCATTTTAAGATCTCTATACAAATCATCTTCAGCCTCTATTTTATCCAATAGAATATTTTCTTCTTCTATAACCTGTTGGCTCCACTTTGAAAGTATCAGAAATTTTTTAAAATAGGTCCTGAACACATTGTTCCCAAGCTGATTTAATTTTTTCTATAGTAAAATAGTATTTCTCCATTATGTTAGTAAGTATCTTCTCCTTTAATTGATCTCTGGTTCCCTCTAGTTAACTTCCAAAGCCCAGTCTTGTCTTTTATTTTCAGAGTCCAAACTTTCCCACAGTAAGGTTTCTTACAGTTAATTCCAAAATCATCAGCTGTATTTTTATAAAATTTAAAACACTCCAAAAAAATTATTCTTTCAGATCCGTCTGACCCCTTAACTATCTATAGTCAACATTCTAAACTCCCTTTTGCTGTTTCAAAAATTACATTTTTTCTTTGTAATCTTTAAACTTACTTGAATCTTCTTTCTTCAAGGATAGAAGGAAATTCTCCTGGTGCGCAGCAACGTGCCCTTCAGAAGGTTTTTAATTTCCAAATAAACTGATAATAAGTTGTTTCCATTGCCAATTAAAAGAGGAAGTTTTAGTATCTAGTGTCCTTTTGAAGTGTCCTTTTGAAGGCTCTGAACCACAGCTTGGGCTCAGTGTTTCCTGTGATTTCCAGAGTGTTCAACCCTGCTGGAGATAGCTAATTTGCAATCTCTTCACAGGGAGCCTCTGTAAGGAGTACCTATGGGTGATCCAGTCATCTCTTCTGTCCAGAGTGGTTCCCAAGAGCCGGATCCTTCACCGGATCCTCTTGTCAGCCATGGCTATCAGCTCTGCAAAAACGGAGCTGTCTTCAATCTGCCACTGCTTCCCCCCGAAAGTGGATGAAATATTAAAGTTGTATTGATCTGGCAAGACTTTGAGCTTTTGTAAACATCTTTCTCTTTTCTGAAACTTCTTTAGTAAAATCAGGATAAACTGATATTTTGCTTTGACTAGAACACCATTTCAAGTGAGATTTTACCGATTCCTGACAAAATATATGTAAAATCTCATCTCTTGTGGCAACACAGAAGAATTGCACAATAATAATATTGGAACTAGTTCCAGACTTCCTTCTTGTTAAAGGAATTTTAATCACATGATCAATCTCAACTGGAAAATCCGTTACCAAAGAAAAGAGCTTCCTGAAAAAATCTTCCATAAATTCAGTCAGATTTGATTGCCTTGGAGGGTTTTCAATATCAATCACACATAGATTTTTCCTATCAATTGTAACTCATAGCAAGCCATTATTCTTGCATCAGTTTTAAATCACATTTAAGCTCTGCCAGATCTTATTGGATTGGCTGCAACCTTGCCAAGAGGCCCCTTTGCAAAGAGCTCCTGGAGTGCGGTGCACCAAAATGCCCCTTTGCATTGTGCTCCTGGGCAGGGCTGGGCTTTTGGCTTTTGCTTTATGCTACAAAAAAAAAAAAAATGCCAAAAGCTTAGCCGCACCTCAGAGCATGGCACAAAGGGGTATTTTGGTACGCCGCACTCCAGGAGCCTTTTGCAAAGGGGCTTTTAGTGCACTGTGGCTCTGGGGTTGCTTTTGGATTTTTTTTCTTTTCACAGCCAAAGTCCAGCCTAGCCTGGTCCAGCAACCAGGCCAGGCACACCTCGTCAACAGTGGGAGCAAAGACAGCGAAGGTCAGCTGGGAAGGCGGAAAGTAGGTGGCAGGGGGGCAAAAGGGCATACATGGGGGGAGATAGGCAGGTGGAAGAAGTTGAAGCACCCCACGATTGTAAGTACGAGTGGGCTGCCAAGCACCTGAATTTTGATCATGTGACTGCGTGGGTGCTGCAATGGCCATAACTTCAGGCACAGGTGGTAAGTCCCTTTGTTCAGTGCCGTCATAACTTTGAACAATTGCTGAATGAATGGTTGTAAGTTGAGGACTACCTGTATGAGTTTCTATGTGTGAATGGAAGATGCCAGGTTCAAATAAGTCTGGAGAACATCAGCTGAAAAAAGATGCTTTATGTCCTACTAAGAAAAGTAGCACCTTTCTCAGATGGCACAGAAGACTTACTGGTTGGTGAAATAATTGCCAGTTTGCAGCCATGTTTGTATCCAGGGTCAACTCCCATCAATGTTCGACCTCTCACAGGGCTTGTTAGAAGCAGCTGACGAAGATTCCTTCCAAACATCATTACTGATTCCTTTTCAGCATCTGAAGTTAGTTTTGATCTGATAAGGGAGTAAAAAAGTCCAGTTTTTCATAAATATGCAAAATTGTATTTTTATTTCTCATTAAAATGTTCATTGTCTTCTTCACTTATATAAGCAAATACACTCACACCACATGCACATTCCTATGAGAGACATTTTTTGATTCTTAGAAACTAATAGTCCACTTACTGAAGTATATGGTTCATCTTTTTTATACAGAATACTGCGATCCAAAGTGAGGAAACATACTTTGGATGTGGTATTAGCAATTTCACTGTTTCTGTTGGTGGGTCTTTAAAGGAGTTGCACCTTTTCCTGAGGTTACCAGTAGCTGTACAAATTCAGGAAAATGTGTTTGAATTAAAGAGTCACCACCTCATTAATATTTTTTAATGCCTCTTTTACTCAAAGATGTATTTTCCTGAGCCTGCATTGCTACTGTGCAAGACCAAGAAAAGGCACAGCTTTCCTCAATAGGTACAATGATGGTGCCTGTACTGGATCCAAACCACATTTGCCCCTTTCAGGTCTAAGTACTATAAGCCACTAGCCTAGGGGGAGTGAATCATTATCAAAACAACTTTGCTCGTTTCAGAGAAAAGTTCTTTGCCCTGTTTACTCACTTTTATGGCCATTATTGTAAGATCTACTCTAATAATATCTGAAATGGGACAAGGCATATGATTCACTCTCCTCATAATGCATGACACAGGCAGAAGAAAATAATTAAATGATATAGTTTGGCCCTTTTACTTGTCATATCATTAAAATATTAGTAAAGTACTATGAAATAGAACTGCACACAATTTATTTCAATTTATTATTACTGGTTTTAGAATTTATAATCCTTTTTTGCAGTATGGGTATATTCAGTGTTTTGACTTAAAAGCCTTCACAGCTCTTTGCAATTCAAACATCAATAGAATGCAATATAGGAAAATATTATGCATTAGTAAAAGCCACAACAATTGGAAGCAGGGAAGAAAAATGAAACTTTAAAAATGGCTAAAAAAATTAAAAGTGCAAGAGTAAGACAGACCAACAGGCATCTAGAGTTGTTCTTTTCCTGGGAAGAACACCTAGGAAAAAAGTTGCAGATTGATACAGCTTTGAGAGCTTAGCCAGTCCAATTTCATACAGCTGAGAGCCATTTAAAGAATAAGTAAAGCTGGACCTCTTCTAATCAATCTGAGCAGCAACCAAAATTTTGGTCTAATAGATTGGTCACAATCAAGAATAAGGGAAGAAATTAAATGTGTTCATCGAAATGAGCAAAAGTGTACTTTGTAGAAGTGTTCAAATTAAATGTGTTCATTGAAATGAGCAAAAGTGTACTTTGTAGAAGCTCATTCAGGGTTCACCATTGTGTTAAATTATAATTAGTTTATAAACTAAATTATAAACAATTTAGTTTTGGCTTAGTGTAAATCTAGCCATTTTGGTTTATGAACCATGATTTATGACTTCACTTATTATATTAACTCAGCAATTGTACTTTAGTCAATTAATCATGGTTAAAAGTAAGCCATAAACCAAATATTCTCAGAGCAAAACTTGACATGATACCAATAACTGAACTGGTATAAAACAGAGTTCTGCATCCAGAAGGAACTTGTCTGATATGACTTCATCTCATTATATATTTTCCTATCCTAAGTTCTGAATATTGTACAAAAAAGAATAATATAATATGATGTCATTTCAGCCATTTCACATCTATCCATCCACCTAACCTTCTACCCACCCACCTGCCTATCATCTTGTTACACATGATGCCAACTACCTAAGTTGCATGTTAAGCAGTAAAGAAAGAGAAGATGGAACTAAATGCACTCATGCAGCAAACTATTCCAGGATCTAGTTTCGCCCCAGAATCTGTTTCCACAATCTTATGAATATAACAATGACTTCATAATCGAGAGAATATGAAAAATATCATAAAGCAGTTTTAAATTTTATAGTAATTGACTAATAAAATTAAATAATCTCAGTGTAGCACTGTTTCTAAGAGGGCCAAGGATATCAGACTTGAAAAATCAACACCAGGATGTCACAACATAAGCCTTGTCCCTTTTCTTTATGCACTGCAAAGTCACACACATGCCCCAAAGGAGTGAAGCCTGCAGCACAGCATTGAGTTTCTGAGGATACTGTTGTCTCAGTACTACTGATTTCTGCCAGAATTATATCACTAAATCATTGGGTCTATACATACTAAGCTAAGCAATAGTCTGTTCAAACAAAGCTTACTGAATAATAGGTTAACTGCATTAAGTCACAGGCAGTGGTTTAAAAACCACAATTATAATGTGCATACAACCTACTAAGCCAAGATCTAAAAACCTACCTAAACATAGCTTAACATAATGATTGAATTATGTCATACAGCTAAGAGGGCTTTTGGGGCCATCTAAAATCCTGTTTGAAGCAAGAAATCCAGAATTAGTGCCCTGATGGTGGTCCCACTTCTGCCTGAATATCTCCAAAATGAAGATCTTACTATTGCCTATATAATTTTGTCTTGCAGTTGGTAAATTTGGGAACAGTTTACAATATATGATTATTTAACTCTTAACTGTCTTGGCAGGTGATGGTTCTAAGGTGACCTTGTTTGGATTGAGAAGCTAATGAGGTGCAGGCCTGGTTAATACCTGGATAGGAAACTACTAGTAAGCTAGACTGGGAAGTTGAAAAACCATCCCAGAAGTCCTCTTCTGTATTATTTTTTAAAAAATGCATGGATGTGTCTATGAAATCATCAAGAACTGAGTCTGACCCAAATGGAACTTTATTTTAACTCCCACCTATTTGGGAGGAGGGCCCACAAAAACACCTCTATCCATAAATATATTTTGAAATTATATGTTTGAACCTGAAATTACAATTTATTCCTCCAATGCCAAAAAAATGCCATTTCAGCTGGTAAAAGAAGCCATTATATTGTCACTGGCAAAACAGATGGCTTCCTACTCGGCAGTCATTACATAGCAAAGTTGAGCCCAATATTATGCCTATTAGATTGTTAATCTAAGAGTGAAAAATGACAGATACAAAGATATTTATAGCTGGAGCAATTAGTCTCCCCACTTCTCTTAAAAGAAGTATGACAAATGGGATTAGATCAATATGATGGAGAGCACTACTGAAACAGCAATTGTGAAATGGATATAATAAAAACAATTTTAGCAGCCCAGCAGTTTGCATCAAGACCATTAGAACACTCTTACTCAATATAGCAGAGGAGAAAAAATACATAATATGGCATGATCATTAAAAACATAAGCAAATTGCAGTTTGGATACACAAACTGTCAACGTTTCCCCAATATAAAATGCATTTTTGGTAATTACTTTCCTTTTTACTCTCCGCACTGCCAAAAAAAAAAGTCTTCAATTTGCCAATGCTTGTATACTCTTAACATCTGAAGGGCAAGGTATGAAACTGTCTCGGGAAAAACAGCATGTGTCAAAAACCCTTCTGCTATCTCAGTCCTAGAGAAACCTCCTTAGAAATAAACCTTACTGATTTTAGTGAGCATTAACTCCAAATTAGGCTTCACAGGACACCAAGTTTTGATATATCCTTATGTAACAATGGAACTACTATATTAAACAAAGTATAGGGGCAGAGAGCTACAGAAGTAAATCTGGATCTTCTGGTATATCTTTGGGTAATTCGTAGAATATGAGCAGCATACAGTACCCTGTGCACTTCCTCAGAAGTCACCAGTTCAAACTCATCCTAGATCTTACCACAAGACTGAGTCTCAGATACCTTGGCCAGACCTGCTTAGTCAAAGTTCAAGCTGGAGTGCATCTGAAAAAATAGCCAAATAGCCAGAATATTCTTCCCAGCAGCTCTGCCCAATAGGGACCCAATCACCCTAAATAGGCCTGCTATCAGTGGACACAATAAGGGTGGAAGAATATCAACCTTCACCGTACTTATTGCCACAAAGTTCTTGTGGACTCTTACCCATGTTCAGACAGACTTACTCTGAGTCTTCCTCCAACAGCACTTCAGATACATCTTCTTGGTGCTTCATTTCCCTGAGTTCCTCATTAAATCATGGTGCATTCTGGCATTCATGGCACATAGGGGTGATGCGGTTCAAGGCTCCAGCCACTCACCCATTCCAGGCGGTGGCCAAGGCGTCAGCCAAACCCCAACCAATCCTCAGGGAAAATCCCAAACTCCCTCTGGAATCCCATTGGGTCCATCAGTTGCTGATTGAACTGGCTCTATCTCCCACAGGAGAGGTAGACACCAGCAAGCCAGAAGGCAATCAGAGAATTATCTGTCCATGGCAACAGACAGTTGCTATTGTTCTCCGCTACCAGAACATGGCTTAGAGTAAAGTAGTTGCCTTAAATCTCTACAAGGTTTAAGTCTGTACCTTAAAAATCCCAAAATAAAAAAGGCCAAAAGTGAATTAGCCCCCATTGGTTGCAATGGTACTCTGGGAGTGCAAAATGGCTGGGGTGGGGACCACATGCAGCTTGCTCAATTGTGCTGTAGACGTATTGGAAATTTTGGGAGTTGTGGGCCCAACACAAACTAGACAGCACCATTTTGGGGAAGAATGATTTAGCCTTATAGGTAAACACAAGTTTATGAAAAATAAATAATGTAAATAATTTGCTACTTTAGTGTAAAATTCCCAAACTATGTCACAGGAGAGGAGAATTTTTATCTTGAAAATTTATCACATTGGATGCATATAACTCTGCCAGGGTTGCTGATTGCCATCTATCGTTGGCTGTTTTAACAGAGTTGCACTGAGGGCAGTAAAGCCACTAGAGAAGATCACTTCTTGGTGATGATGTGAGAGACAGAAACTTTCTTTCTCTTCAAGATGAATTTGGGCAATATGAAGAATTCCCAGGTGAAAGCTGAGAGTTTTCTAAGGGTGGTGGGAGGCATCCAGTCTTGCTCTAATAAGAGCTGTATTAAGGATGCAGTAGTTTAGTGAGCATTTGGCCACTGTCCTTGAATTCACATCCTGTAAGTTTGGTGTATGGACTGTTTCTGGTTATCCATATTTTTAACTTATTCCTCTCCCTTTTTCTTTGTGTGAGTTGTACCCTTCAAGATATAACCACTGCTGCCATATATAGAAATTAACATTTAAGTTTGAGTGCCCAGATAAATATAGTACCTGCCTGTGGGAGAGTATAATATATATCAATTGACTATTGGTTAGAACACTGTATCATAGCAAAATCTAGATTAAATGGCTGATCAACAGACATATGGAACCTTGGTATGGTACCTCTTAGCATCTACTTCAAAGTCTCCTAAGTTAAAGTCAAAGAGACAATACCTCTTTGCATGGTTGTATGGACCTCCAGCAATACATGGGGTTGTCACTTTCAGTGAGAATGGATATGCCTTACAATCAAAACTATCCGGCTTCAAAGATTTTAAAATTAGAGAAATCCATATATATTAAGCTTATCCAAAGCTCATAGCCAAGATGGCCATCTAGAAATTCCCATGTCAAGAGGCAGTATGTCTCTGAACATCACTTTTTGGAAGACAAGAGAGGGCTCCTGTATCTCATGTCCTGCTTGTGAGTTTCTCATAAGCATTTGGTTTTAGCTCCTGTGAAAAACAGGACGCTAAATTAGCTAAGTTTGTGGTCTGACTAACTAGGGCTATTAAATTTTTACTTACCCTTTTAATAATGAAGATATATTGCTTTACCTGAATTCTCTGCAGAGAAGGGGATAAATAAGACGTTTATATGAATCTTCTATTGAATAACGCAGTAGTTCCATTAATTCAGGGTTGGCATAGGCCTTTGGTCTCCATCTGTGAATCAGAAGTTTTTATACTCTGGTCACTCTGGCAATCTTTTAAATCAAACCATGTCAAAAATAACAAGAACAAGAACAATAGGTAAACCCACTAAGTAAACCCAAGAAGTGTTTTTCCTCATAGCATCCATCGCAGTTGTTAATTCTGAATTCCTAGAGAACTGCCAAGTCTTTTCTCAGATTACAAATCCAAAGTCAATCCAGGTAACTCCTGCTAATATAACACAAGAGCAAGGGCAGCAATTGTGAGCTAGCAGTTGTCACTTCAAATCTTGCACAACCTCTCTATGGATGTAATTGAGGGACTATTCTATTGACTTCAGCCCTATCTCTTTCCATACAACATAATACTGTTCTTCCTTATTGGGCTGATATTGAGATAGCACACTTTGTAATATTAAACATTAGTATCTAGAATGTTGCCATGGGTTTCAGTTCTAATTTCTGCTAACTTCGAACTCAAGCATTCATTAGAGCACGTTTCATCATGTTTGAAAACTATTCTACACCAGTTTCTCATTGGCCCAAAAGTCTACCTAAAAGAATGAAAATGTACATAAATAGTGAACTGGGAGCGGAGGAAATAATTTGTTCATGATGTATCACATACCAAATGTCAATGATTCAAGAATTAAGATACAGAAATATTCACAGAAGACCTAATAAACAATTTAGGAATGAGCAACATATGATTCAAAATCCCTATGTAGTTAGTTGAACTTCTTCCATTAAAATGACAAATATATGAGCTTACAGCCCAAACTGCATACCACAGCACTTACAAAATTAAATCTGTTGCTTCACAATCTGAAATTCTGAAAAAATGTTTTCAGAATGTCCATTAACTTCCTAAAAGTATCTAAATCTTGGCACTTTAAAATTTGGTACTAGAATCAAGCAGATATGAAAAATTATACAGAAAATCTGTATCCTGAGCCTGTTCTATTAATTCATCATTGAACTGGAGCATCTTCCTAAAGATGAAAGCGTAAAACTACAACATAGAAACAAATACATAGCTTAGAATTACTGATGGCCAACTCCCTGTTCCATGCAGGAAGCCAGAGCTAGAACATCCCCAAAATAGGATTGCCTACCCTCTGTTAAAGTGCTGCACTCAATATGCCAGCAAGTTTGGAAAACGCAACAGTTGCCACGGGATTGGAAAAGG